GACAACTCAAAACTGTACAGTATTTAAAAATCTTTAGATTTCGGTTTCTTGTTTCTATGGAAGATACTCTTAGCATTCTTGGACAACTTTGTAGTAAAGTTAGGACTTCTGCTTAAAAGTCTGTGATGAAGTATCACTATTGAAGGTGATAACCAGCAGCAAATAGATATCAACAAGCAGGCTTACAGAAAGTTATGGAATAATTAAATAAGGTTTTCAAACAGTGAGAAATAGGAATAAAACTTCTACCAGTAAAAATACCTCCTGGTAAATGGGCCTTGCTTGTCAACATGTAAGACGTGTTTTTAAGACACACAAAGCTGCTTGTGCTTAGCACTGTCCCAAGACAGTGTCTCCTGTTTCTTCTGGCCACCTGCTCCCAGGTTTACCTGAGATGTTTGGATGTTTACCCTGTCCAAACTCAGCCTCATCAGCCCTCATGATGAGCTGATACAGCTTGCAAGGGCAGCAGGAAACTTGGAAGAAAAAAATAAGTGATCTTCCTCAGAGTCACTGAGTTGTATTGGATCTTAGGAAAGTCTGTCAGGATCATGATAGCATGGCTGGGAAGTGTGGGAGACAAAAGAAGAGCAAAGCTGCTCACTTCAGGTGATAGGAAACACTGAATTAACTGAAGTGATTATTATGAAACTGTAACCCTGGACTTCTGGGAGGTGTTTTTTTCTTAACAGAATGTTGCACAATGTTAGATTACATAAATTCCAGTATTACAGTGACTGTTGGTTCTTTTCTCCCTTTCACATCATGGTATGTTTCAACATACATTATATGTCAGGGATGGCATTCCTGACAAGACTAATTTGCTTGTAATATGTTCTGAGTTATGACACCTCTTTCATTTCCCAGGTCAAAGACCTACTTTTCATGGTACATATGTATTTCAGAAAAGTAACTATTTTTCACAATTACTGCTCTTAAGGTGTGTTGATAACGAGGTTCAATATACATCTTGAGCCCCACCATGCTTAAAAGTTGCTCAGTTGGGCTGAGCATCTATATACTTGGATAGACCATGTTATTCTTAGATGCAGGGTGGATTCATAAATGGTTACAGCCCATGCAGAACACTTCTGCACCATGGGCTCGATCCTTCCAAACTGAAGGAGGCAGCTGTGCGGCTTCCTTTTACCTCACTCGTTCATCCTGTATGTCTTGTACAGTCTTGTACATAAAGCTGTTGCTGATAAAGCCAAACCCCAATAACTGACAGGTTGTTCCTTTATTGCAGGGCGAAGACAGCACTCCAGCAGTATCTTGCATGATCAAAGACTAACTGAATCTATGGACACCCCTCATGTCTACTTAAGGAATAACAGGAGATATTCCTGACTCCTTGTATTTGCACAAGTCACCTTGGGCTGCGTTTTTCTCAGGTGCAGGGAGCTGCTTTGCAGAAACAGTTTAAATGATCAGGTCTCCAGTGCACTTGAGAATTTTCTTGAGGTAGTTTCTTTACTCAGAGGACTCCTGGGGGGTTGTTTTGGTATTTTCTGGGGTTTTGGTTGTTTTTTTTTTTTTTTTTCCCTGAGCTACCTGGACTTCCGGATAGAACAATCAGTCATCACCTTCCTTTTGGGCCTACAATTTTCTGCTTTTGCTGCAGCCTGTGTGTGGATGTGCGAGGATGTGCTCGAATGTGTGCTTGGGTGAATGTGTGCGAGTGTGAGACCTCAGTTTCGTTTTTCCTTTTTTTTGTGTGTGTGTGAAAATCTTTTTCTACAGGTTTTCAAGGATTAACCATTGTTTGCTGTATGAATACTTCAATGAATTATATACAGTTTGAATGAAATGTTATTTAAAAAGAAAAACCAAACTGTTGTATCCCATAAAGTTTATTTTGAATTTTGAGCAGATGAATGTTTTTAAGTAAAATATATGCATTTCTGAACTTCAGCTTAACTTACATTATACTTCCTTTTTAAAAAGAAAAGTAGAGTGAGATAGTAGACCCTAAATTATAAGCAGTGCATTCTGTACTCATGAGGTCCAAGAGGTTTTTGCTACCGTACAAGGTCACCTGGTACTGATGACATGCTCAAATCCATGGAATGGGTGAACTGGATTGCTTTGGGTTTCTTTGGTTTTCAGAAGAAAAGCTCATACTTCAGAGTTTGCATGACTGTTGACTTGTCTGGAAAGGAACAGGTGGCGGCAATATTGGCAGGCATAAGCTATTGCTTTAGTAGCCAAGAACTTGCTCAGATAATTGCTGAAGGATTGGCTTATTTCACTGGTGATTTTTTTTTTTTTTTTTTTTTTTGCTAATCATGAATAGCAGTAGAGCAAACACTATATTGCAGAAGTTGTACTTTCAAGAGGCCAGAAGGAGCTGGCAAGCAGTGATTAAGGGATTGCTTTTGTTCTGCATCCTTTGCCTCCAGATATAATGAAGTGACTTACAAATTACTTCAGTGAAAGATCAGCTGGGTGCATTAAGTTGGGGAAGGGATGGAAAAATTGGGTTTGGTGGTTTGGTTTTGGGGGGTTTGGGTTTTGTTTTGTTTTATTTTTAGTTGAGTAATGTTGCTACAGATTTTCTGTATATATGCAGATATACACACTTGCATGGATTTGGATACCTGGATAATAAGTGATGGGATTTTACTGCATTCAGAAGCCTAGATTGTTCATAAGTTCCTGAAATTATGCCTGTAAGTGTGGAGAAAAAAAATACAGAAAAAGACGACTGTGTAAGGTTAGGCTGGAATCTGATGAGACCCCAGTCAAATATACATAGGAACAAAGGCGGGCAGCAAGGAGCTCTCCTTCATGCAGTTCAGGGTTCTTGCTTTCTTCCTGTGTCCACTTTCTGATTTCAGTTTAGACCATAGTTCTAGTAGTCAGAATCTCCAAGCACTGTATTTACATAGCACTAACTAGCACACTAAAGGTAGCAGCCGATGTCTTAAACCAAATCTTCCTTTTGTTACACTCAACTTCAGAAAGGCTGCAGCAAGAAGAGAGGTCTGTAACTTTGCTAACCAATTTTGATAAGTATCTTAGTCTTTTATTTCTAATCAGAAGGTCACATTGTGATAGCCTTACTTTTTTCCAAGGTAACTACTTGTGTCAGAAAATGTGACAACAGTTTGGCCTGGAATTTGAATGTGCTATGTATCAGATAACTGTTATCACTTGGTTGCAAAGGACAATATATGCATTTCATGTAACTTCTTCCATCCTTGAAAGACAAATAAAAGTGAGCACCTGACACTTTTTTCCTAGACATTGCAGTAAGTGACTGGCAGTTTTTTAATGTCCTTCTGCAAATTTTCCATGATGGACGTTGGGGGCTGAACAAAAGCAAAAGTAAAAATATGTGAGAACTTGATCAATACCAGTATCTCAGAAGTGAAGTCTTCTTCACAAAAGTCAATCAAATAGATTTTTTTGCTTGACGTGGGGAAAAAGACCTTCCAAAAGCAGATATTGTAAACACAGAACTGTACAGCATGCATCTGACTTCCACATTTGCACTCCTGCTATGTGTGTTTAGGAGCTCAAGTTTTTACATACCTCTTCTCATCCTCCCCCAGTTCATGTTTCTAAAAACAAATCTGAGTTTGCTTCTATAACATTCCGGTGCCTAAAGGTGTTCAGAAGAAGGTAAGTATCTCTGTACATGTTTCAAGGTGGTTTCCTAAAATTCTTCCAGAAACAGTAAAAACCAGTGCTCAGACAATCGTGTTTCTGCATGAGAGCAGTTGGCATTTTCCACAGATATTGGTAGGACAAACTGTTGGATGAGAACATTTTTACATTCAGTTAAGCTTTGTGAATAATTTTTGATGTCGCTATAGGTATGTACAAAAAGAATACTGTAAATAAAAGAACTTTACCAGAACATCTAGATTTTTCTCAGCTTCATGGAGAAACCTCAGCTTTCTGTGCCAGCTTCTCTGCAGACTGACAGTTGCTAGCCTGAGATTCACAGTGGGAACAAACTTGTTTGCTGGTCAGCCAGATCTTTACCGACTTCATTTAGGTAACAGCATCTTATGAGTTACTTATGTATTTGCTTGCAGAACCAAAGCAAAGTTCTTCAAGTTGGCATAATACCAATCACCAGGATTTCTGCTGTTCTTGTGCCATTTCTCTTTTAAAAAGCAGTCTTAATTTCGATAAGTATGTCAAGTCTGTGTATCAGTGTCCAGCAGCAGTAGTGCTTCTCTCAAAGGTTACATGTGTTAAAAGAAACTAATAGTTTGGCATGCTAGTTGTCAGGGTAGTGGTCTCTCCCACTCAGAAAGTCAAATGAGACTTATTTGGCTGTTGTTTATATCACAGATTTGCATTTTAGTTATGAAAGAAGCCAAATGATCTGCTTAAAAGCATATTGTGCCAATATATTCTTAAGGAAAACATCTGATTTTTTAAAACTTGTTCTTGCAGACTTAAACCTGCAGTAGATCTAATTGCATTAGGTGCTGCACCTCCACGAAAGTGCTGAAGCAGTGACAGAACAGGCAGAGGAAGGAATAATTGAGGTGAATGAGAGTAGATTCTTGAAGACCAGAAAATGGGTTTAACAGGCGTGTCTTTGGTAATCCTAAAGTGTAAGCACATATGTGTAAACATGCAAAATTTCAGTAGCGGTTAAAATCATCTGGACTTTACTGAAGGCTTATTCCTACAAAAAGAAAGATGCAGGGGGCATCCAGGGTGCAGTTTGCTCTGCTGAGCTGGTGCTGGAGGCAGGGGAGCCCCTGCCGACGTTCAGCAGAACCATGTCCCCTGCAGGTACTAGACAATGTCACCTTAAGTTGCCAGGGGCACTAGGAGAGCTGACGTGCCAAAAGCCAAATCCTCAAGCAGCAGGGACCTTGGGCAGCTGGAGGACCAGGCTACCAGACATTATGTGTCTGCATCTGGAGCCCAGTGACCCCCCCCCAGGCATGTGAAGGGACGAGTTGAGCACGAGTTCAGCAGCAGCCGTGCTCAAAAGCACATCGTCCTGGGGTGTGCTGGGCACAGCACTGGCCTCTCACTGAAAATAAGGTTAAAACCAACCAACCTTCAAAACCTGAGCTGCCTTTGGAGTAGGGCCAGCAGCTCATCGCCTCTCCTGGGTTCTAGGCAGGGCTGTGGGGAGCTGGGCAGGTTTGACAGACAAAGGGAAGGCAGAGAGGCTCCAACTGCAGCTGCTGCTGCATGAGTGGGAATTCGAGAAGACCGAGCTGAACTTCCTGTCTGCAGGGGATTTCGATAAGAGAGTGGGGCGGGCTGGGCTTGGCTTCCGCTCCCCCTGGCATTGCCATGGCTGCCATAGCAGCGTTGGGGTGCTGCCATAGCAGCGTTGGGGTGCTGCCATAGCAGCGTTGGGGTGCTGCCATAGCAGCGTTGGGGTGCTGCCAGCTGCTGCGCAGGTACTGATGGGCCCTGTGTGGGCACAGGCTGCTGAAAGCAAACGGCAAGTTCGGGCTAGCAGCAGCACCCTGCCTCTGTGAAAAGGGTGTGAGCAAAGCTGTGTCCAGGCTTTGGACACTGCTGAGCCAACACTGCTCCCTTCCAAAAGGGCAGGGTTGTCAGGCTGTATGTGGTGGGTTGGAGGAGCAAAGACACGTAAAAAGCTTTCTCTGTGGTGCAGATTGAACAGCAACTGGATTCATGTAATTAGAGGACATCTGCAGTGCTTTGCACTTGGGACTGCTGCTCAGAAGACCCTTGTTCCTGCAGAAGGATGGCTGCAAAGAAGAAGGAAGTAGTACTGCAGGTCAGTAGGAGCCAGGCTTTTAAAGTGTCTTTTAAACTCATAGTATGTGCAAAGGATGAAGTTCGGTCTTGGGATATTTCAGATTCTCCTGGCAAAGCCCTGCTGTGAGGTTTCTGGGGTGGAAAAACCTTCCTGAAGGCAGGTAGGAAGTATGGGAAAACATGGCAAGTCAAACCTGTCCTCAGGATCAGTGCTATGGTGTGCAGAGGGAGGTTGCTATGGGGCTGCAGGTTGTATTCCAGAGCTGTTAAGAGCTGGCACATGTTTGGCTGCTTTCATAGATCAAAATGCATCTGTGTTTCATGGGACAATGGTTCAGAAGCCATTCAGAAGTAGGGAACTGGGGGAGGGAGCATTTCTCCTGAAGGGCAATTGTCACTGAGCATCTGACCAGTTCACATACTTAGAAAAATCACTGTAAAGGAGGAAAAGTTAGGAGGTACAAGAAAAAATTCAAAGGCTGAAAAATCTATTTCACAATGGTGAGTAGATGAATTTCTTCCTGTTTACACTGCACAAGTGACCTAATGATGCATTATAATTACCTGCATAGGGGAGAGAGTATTTATGAGAATAGTTTCATATGCAAAGACATTGAAAAAAAAAACGAAAGTAGTTATGAAGGTCTTATAATTTTGAAAAAAAAGCTCAGTCTTTGCAAGAGAGAAATATGGAAGGAGATTATGGTCTCTATAACCTTGTTTATTCACTGTTAAAACTGGAAAGCATGGAGTGCAAATGTGAGCATTTCTATAAGACAGAAAGGATCACTGTTAAGGTAAAACTGCTTTCCCCTGCTGTTTGTCCAGCTGTATTCCTGTGCCATGCAGAAAACATCAAGCAGGCTTTGCAACTTTTGCAACTAAGGGAAAGCTAGGTCTAGATTTGCAAAAATATGATCACATCTGCAGATGAAAGCTGAACTTTGTGTAAGACATAATGTGATGTCCTGGAAAGGTTCTGGTTGTATTAGAGAAGAGCCAAGTCCTAGCAACCTCAGGGCATCGAAATTAGCAAAGCACTTTGAAGGGTACCTCAGTCTATCAGTTCAACTCAGGCTTTAACTCGTTATCACAAATTATTATCTGAAATCATTTGAATTCAATAATGTTCTGTGAAACACTCCGAGGGTGGTCCCAGCACTAGAGGTAACTGGAATCATTACATTACTTAATTCTGCAGGTGTTCTCTGAATAAAAGTAGGCTTGGGGACATGTGTTAAAGAGAACGGATGGAGGTGTTGGACCAACTCGCCATTCTCTGGGAGATGCTGGACTCTGGAAGTCTGTATGAGGCCATTTAATTTGCACTGGAGTTTCCACTCTTAGTATTCTTTGCAATTTTAGAAATGTTGGTGCTAGTTATTGTAAAATCACTGGTCTTACTGAAACTTACTGTCTTCCAATGTAGACTAAATGTAGTTAGGGTTAATGATGCCAACTGTGAAAGTTATTAGGAATCCTCATTGTTCAGGATGAACAAAACCAGATCTTATATTTCTCAAGGAGCTCTTTTTTTTTTTTTTTTTTTTTTTTTTACTGTGTTTTTCTAAGTACATACTACAGGACAAGTCCTGTAAGATAGGGAAGATGCTGAAGATACTTTCTAATAACAGGAAACATGGGATAAAATAGCATATGGCACAATATGGGGTTGTCTAGGGCATCCTTGACTGGGTAAGTTCCTGAGCAATCTGCTCTAATACTGACCTTTGAGCAGTGGATTAGACTAAGGACTCCATAGACCTCTTCCAGCCTAAATCTATTGTTCACTATGTTTTGGAAGTCTTTAAGTAGCAGCTGGTAATTCAGGTAAGGACATGATGAGCTCAGATCACCCTCTAGTGACCAGACATTGTGAAAGCTGTGTATTTACTAGTTTATCAAGAAACATCTGAAACATCTTAAGGAAGTAGCATAGCATGTGTGCAGGTAAGGTGAGAAACTGCTTGTGGAGAATCATCATTCTCATCCCTTGTAAAATGGGATGAGAACGGGGTCTGAAATAGGTGTGAGGAAAGTAGGATGTGTGCTGGAGATGAGCATGTTGAAGTAGCACTCTGAATGCTCAGGTTAGCCCAGGCCACAACCTTGCACTGCTTTTGAGCACCATGCTGGCTCTGATAGGAGGTCTCTGCAACCTAGTGGTGTCTGTGTGTGGCTCTCCTCCAAGCCTGTGTTGCGTGACCCAGGCAGCCTGCAGAGAACTGGTCCAGTTATTTGCCAGTGGCTTTAAACTGTGTTAGTTGCTAGCCTGTGTTAAAACATCATTACATATCAGACTTCCATTTAAGTGAAAGCAAAGTAGCTCTTTGTGTTTCTCCTGTAGCAAAGTGCTGTGGTAGGGAGCTCAGGGTCTCCGAGACCTGCTGCCTTGCTGTTCTTCCTGGTAGCAGCACATTTGCAGGGCTGTATGATAAGCCAAGGCACAGGAGGAATATCTGGAGCCCTTCCATGCTTTCAGATCTTGCTGCATGGCCCCAGAAAGACTTTTGTTGCCATAAAAGCAGGAGGGTGCCAGGAAAAACCTGAGGTTGTACAGGTATTTCAGACCTTCCCTCTTGTGCCATAGCACAGCCTGGTAGGATAAACTGGGGCTCTGGTCAGCCATCCAGAGGTCCTGTTGGGTTGCAAGGGACCACATCCCCAGTCACCCCTCAGAACAGGAGGTGACTTAGTCTCACTGCAGAGTGTGGGGCCCCCAGGTAACCAGGCTGTTCAAGTAATTGCTGCCACTAAAGAGGGGAAGGCTTGCTGTTGGCTGGATGCTGTTACCGTTTCTATCTGTCTTTCCTTGGTTCTTGTGAGTCTCTAATAAGCTTTTCTAGAGTTAGCTGGCTTACTGATGGCTGTCTTGGAGCTGGCATCAGGTAGTAGCAAGAGCATGTGGAAAGGAGGAACGAATGAGAGTTTGGGTGTGAGAATATCTGACTTCTCAGCTGCTTTTTCTCTGAGGTCTTCCACACACTTTCTAGCACAGCTTGGCCTTGCCTATCTGGTCAAAGGTGAAAGAATTGCAGTCAAAAAGAGTTTTGAGTGCTCAGGTAACATCAGGCAAGCTTGAAGTGATTTGTCAAGATGTTTGCAGCAGTCAGGGTGATGACTTACCATTGCTTTTACTGTGTTTTTAAATTTTCACACAGATTAACATCAATAGCCAGGAGCTTTGGGAAGAAATGCTGTGTCTCAAAGGACTCATTGGTAAGGGTTTGATCAATATAATAGATTGCTTTTGTTCTGTGTTAAAAAGACACCAGTACTATCAGGAGTCAGTTCCTCTACTCTGGCCCTGAATGAAAGAAATATGCTAATAGAGGTGTGACTAGCTGGAGGTTGTAGCCCTCATCATTTATGAGGGACATGTCAATGTTCCCTCTAAAGACTCCTCTATATTACTGTTATTAGCTTGTTTATTTATAATGTGATTTGATTCTCAGATCTAGCATTTGAAGCCTGACAGAGGATAATAGTTTCTACTTCAGAATTGAATCTATAGCCTTTCTAGCATTCAACAGGGGTCTTGCCACACTCTAGACAGAAGTCTAGGAGCAACAGCCACAAGTTGCAGCTTGGGAAATTCTGATTGGACATGAGGCTGATCTTCCCCAGGGTGGTGCTCCAGAGGTCACCAAAGAAGACTTCAGTCCTCAGAGGTTTTCAAGATTCTTCTTACTGCACTGGCACCCTTCTGCAATGCCCTTCCAAATGCTTATGTTGCAAAGTGGAAAAATGCCGAAACCAACTTAATGGTCTGTGTCTAAACTGACCCATTTTGACCTCATTCTTACTAATTTTTCTGCTTGCAGTTGTTGATGCGTATCAAGCCTGGTGTGGTCCATGCAAAACAGTAGTGGATCTTTTCCAAAAAATAAGGAATGAAGTTGGCAGTGATCTCCTGCATTTTGCTGTGGTAAGGACTAATTTGGCACTGCTTAAAAGACCTAGTCCCCTGAAAACAGCTTGTAGCTAAAGGCTAAAGCCATTTTATCTTTCCAATATTGAGCTAAAATTGTAACAGTCCAGGAGTTCCAGCTTGTGAGAATGAGCCTGCCAAATACAGACACTTGGCTACATCAGTAAGAATCCAGATCAATAAGAATTTTCAAGCTTCAAGTGTTCTGTACTTTTCAGATTTCTGTTTAAGCAAGTAATGCTAAAGAGAATCATTAACATGCATGTCCTTCTGATGTACAGGGAGAGTCTGAAGGAGCTGGGTTTTTTCACCCTGGAGAACACTTAAGATACAGATGTCTAGTAGGGTATAAATAGAGAAGGCAGAGACAGGCACTTCACAATGATGCGCAGCAAAAGAGCAACAGGATCAAGTTGCAGCAGGGAAAAATACAAGTAGATAGAAGGAAAAAGTATTAATTCAGTGTAGGAGTGGCTGGACACTGGGATTAGTTCCCAGAGAGGCTATGGAGCACTGATTCTTGGAGATTCTCAAAATTAACACAGTCTTGAGAAACCTCCTATTGCATTCAGACTAGCCCTGCTGTGAGGCAGAGTCTTGGCCTTGGACTAGAGCCCTTCAGAAGTCCCTCCCTATCTCAACCATGCTGTGATTCTGCCTTTAAATGCCTTTCCTTGCTGAAGGCCAGCTTTTACTTGCCGACAGCCATGGGCAATGAGGTTTCTCATAGAAGCTTCTGCCCAGGACTCTATGCAGCCTACTGCTGCTGCTGCCACCACAGCTCCTCCAGTCTCTTCTCTAACTCTCTGTAGACAAAAGGGCCTGATTTCACTCTTTCAGGCTTTTTCTCTGGGATTTGCTAGGGTAAGCTGCTATGAGATAGATGTCCCTGCCCCACAAGAGCTGTGAGTGAAATCTGCTGGCTTCTCATCACTGATCGTGAGCTGGGAGTTGGTTGTCGCCCTGGCTCTGAAGAGTGTCATTTTGCCCCATAAGAATGGGATGTGGAGCTGTTCTGCTCTATGTGGGGGATGTGTGCCAGCCAGCTGGGGATGCCTGAGTCCAGGCGGTTAACATGGGTATTCCTCCAAAGCAGAAATGCTTTTCTAGAAACACCTGTTTTATTTTCCATTCATTTTAGGCTGAAGTTGATTCCATTGACAGTCTGGAAAAATACAGAGGAAAATGCGAGCCTGTCTTTCTGTTTTATGCAGTGAGTGAAAATATTTTTTTACAGTAGTTGTATAGCAATAAACATGACTTACCAGTGGGAACAACTGTTTTGAGGGATACTCTTCTTTCATGTGTGTGCAGGACAATTTTATTTGCTCTGTATATGCCAGTATCTGCTGGTGATCAAGTGCTACATGGATAACAACACACAGCCAGAGTTTACCACGAAGAAACAGAATAATGTAATAATGACAAAGAAGCTAATAAGCTAATAATAATAATAAAGAGCAGAGCAGCTCTGTTAGGGTGGAGGGACTGGTACATAATACCATACATGATGTGCTGCTGTGGTGATTTCTAGAGCTCAGAGGGCACAACTGGAGCACATACTGACAGATTTCACACCTTTCAGGGAGGAGAATTAGTAGCTGCAGTAAGAGGAGCAAATGCACCATTGCTGCAGAAGACCATCCTTGAACAGCTGGCTGTGGAAAGGAAGGTTTTAGAACATGGAGGACAGCGTGTGGTAGTAAGTCAATAAATCCTTTACCTGTAGATGTGCACGCCAGAGAAAAGGTTCAGTTCCCCATTGCCAGCATAGCTCTAAAGCGGAGTCACTTCTCTGCAAAAATCCTGTCCTTTTGTCTGAACTGACTCTGAAATCCAGTTACTACATTGTTTGAGCATTCACAAGCCTGTGGAGCCTACCTAGGTGAAGGAACCTGGATAGGATGACTGCAGTTTTTAAAACTTCGGTGCTCTTGACAAGAGGTAAAAGGAGTGCGTATCATCCGGCTCTAGAGGATGAAAGGGAAACTCTGCTGTGACTTCTTTTCACCTCTTCACCTACCCATAGCATTTATGGTATTCCTTAAAGCTGCCTTCCAAATCAGTTTCTAATTTCAGCATCTCTAGCAGGTCTCTATAGTAGAACCCCAGACTGGTTTGGGTTGGAAGGGACTTTAAAGCTCATCCAGTTCCAACCCCCTGCCACGGGCAGGGACACCTTCCACTAGATTAGGTTGCTCAAAGCCCTGTCTGGGCTGCTGAGGTGGAAAGTGGGGACCTGCCTGGCAGATGCTCTCCTAGAGGGTAAGAGGATGCTCAGGATGTTCCTTGCTTATGCACATGCTCTTACTGCTAGGTACAAGACAGAGCCTTCTCCAAAGAAGAGGGAAAAGTGGCTGTTCTTCAGGAACAGTGGAAGGCTAAATAGGTCAGGTAGGTACAGCTGTAGGATGCTCTTTTTTGCCCTTAGTATCTGCATTTGCTAAAGCTGGAACCCTAAATGATGATTCAGCTGCTGCTGCTCCTTGAGTGCTGGAGGGGACATTCCTCCAAATGGGCACCACGTGCTCTTCCCCACTCTCTAACAGAGCAATACTCAGGATATATCACCTTGAAACAGTCTTTGTAGGCACAAATAAGAAAGCAAGGTAGCTTAGGTGCCTGATACCATTGAACTATTTATCCTTCCAATGGTTTAAACTACATTTGTCAGTACTGACCTTTCCCCTGAGCTTGGTGAGGGCTTTCTTCTGTCTTTAATAACAAATACTGAACTAGCTGCACATGCTGCTCAGCTGTTCCAAGTGGCTTTTAGAAGAAAACACGTTTGGGCACCAAATCTTATTACACCAGCTCTTGCCTTGTCTAAAATTAGCCACATATTCCCAAAGGCTTTTGTCTCTCACCAGACTTCTAACCTACAGTGACACTTGCTTTGGCTTTGCTGGGACGCAGCTGCAGTTTGCCGCTGCACACACCACGTGCTGGCTCCCAAAATGCTGGGAATTGCAGCAAAACCCACTGGGCTTTAGCTAAGGCACCGTGGGTCTGGAAGGGATGTAATGAATTTTGATCTCTCATTTCTTTACCTATTACTAACTTTTTTCCCCTTTCCTTCCCTCGGAGGCTAAGGCACCTGTTGATTCCCAGCCGTTGTCGTGGAGCAGACGTGGGATTTCCCAATAAACACATGGATTTTATGCGACACCACCACCGCCGTTCTCTGTCTCTTTCTCGATAGCGCAGGCACCTCGGCCCCTTTAAGGCCGGCACCTGGGAAGGTGGCCTCGCCGGGCTGCGCCTGCGCAGGGAGGGGGCGTCTCCGGACGCGGGTTCGAGTTCCGCCGGTGCCGGCCTGGCGCTGTGACCGCCGCGGTGCTCGCAGGCCCGGTGATGGACGCGGCGCCGGAGCAGGGTGCCTGCCCCACGGGAGCGGAGGCCGACCCGTGCCCGGAGCCGCCTGTACATCGGCTGAGCGTGGCGGAGCTCGAGCGCGAGCTGGACTGCCGCAGCGAGCTGGTGCGTCGCGATGTTGTGCTCGGGCGCAGATCTCCGCCTGCCGGGGCGCTTCCTACCTCCTTCAGGGACAAGCAGTCTGAGGGAGGCCGCCGCGGCTGAGGCCCGGCCGCTCCCTCCCTTCCGCTCGGCGCTGGCGGCTGCGAGCCCCCTGAGGCAGCCATGCGGGGAGGGTCTGTGGGGACAGGGCTGCAGAAGTTAGGTGGGTGAGCAGGACGCAAGTGCTGCGCTAGTTCACTGCTATAGCAAAGCTTGCTGTTCAGTTATGCAAACATCTGGTTAAAGTGCCTTTATTTTTGAGAAAACTATGCGTTTTTCCCGTTAGTAAGCAGTCAGGAAAAAAAGAATCTTGTGTACTCATGTCTGTCGGTATTAGAAAGACAGCGTGACATTGGTAGCGATCTTTACAAATAGAAAAAGGATTTTGACATCTGTCAGATTGACAGATCTGGCCACTATATAACTATTTTCTATTTTAGATGCTAAATACTTCTTGTTTAGTCCTGCAATGCCAGGTTTCAGAGACTGCATTTCTAATAGGAGAAACTGCAGTGTGTATAGTGCCTTTCTGGGCAGGCTCTGGTTGGAAGGAGTGCATACATAGCTGCTTTTTGGGTTTGTTTTTCTTTAGTTAGAAATGAGTTTGGAAATTGGAGTAGGCAATTTAAACTCGGTCTGTGGTTTCTGATGTACAGATTGATGATAAAGAATTCGACATTCCTCAAGTTGATACCCCTCCAACACTGGAGAGCATCTTGAACGAGGTGAGTGATCCATTGGAAATGCAACCGGCTCCAAGACAGGGAGGAGCTAAGATGAGGCAGCACATACTCCTGTGGCTCTTCTCATGTTGTGTTTTTTGTGGGAAATAAAACTGTATAACTTACTAATTTCCTGATACCTGACAAAACATGTGCTCAGTTGACTGATTGCTGTACAGTTTGTAATATGTTTGGAGTGGGTTTTTTTAATCAGAATATCTGCGGCTGAAACATAGAATCAGACAATGGTTTGTGCTGGAAGGAATCTGAAAGTTCATCCAGTTCCAACCCCCTGCCATGGGCAGGGACACCTTCCACTAGGCCAGGTTGCTCCAAGCCCTGTCCAACCTTGCCTTGAACACTGCCAGGGATGGGGCAGCCACAGCTTCTCTGGGCACCCTGTGCCAGCACCTCAGCACCCTCACAGGGAAAAATTTTTTCCTAATGCCTCATCTCAATCTCCCCTCTGTCAGGTTAAAGCCATTCCCCCTGTCCTGTCCATACAGGCCCTTGTCAGAAGCCCCTCTCCAAGTTTCTTGTACCCCCTGGTTAGGTATATATAAAGTGTTTTCATCAAATTTAACATGTTAACCTGTGGCTTTGGACAGTCACCTAAAAACTATTAAAGTCTATTAAAGGTCAGGGTCATCAAGCAACTTCTTTTTGGCTAGAAATAAATGCAGAGATTTTTGGGTAGTTCTTAAATTGCGAGAGGAGATGAGAGCTGGGTTCTTCACAACTCCATTTATATTGTAAATTTCGTGTATGTAGCCCTCCGAACTGTCTCAACATCTGATGTCGGCTGTTGTAGTACCTTGCAGAGGAGAGCCGATTCTGTCTTGTTTATATCCCCATTCAGTACTTCTTTTACAATAGCAACATGAGTACATGATCCTTACTAATAAGAAGAAGGGCATGGAAGTAAAGATAAATTTTTAAGAAAACAAGTGTTTTAGCAAACTGAAGAAATTGTGGTTGGACCTCCTAGGAACCCAGTATAAAGGGAAAAGAAGCCTGGGAGAAGTGACAGGTCTTTTTAAAAGCTGTATTAAAGATGCATGTGTAAGGAGTCCCAAGGAGATACAGTCTGGGAATGAGAAGAATAGTAGAAGGGGCAGTGTACAGAGGTATGTCCTGTTTCCGCAGATGCCTTGGATGATGAAGGCAGAAGGAACTTACTGGATTTGGGTATTACCAAACTGTAAGGCGATGCAGAGGAGTAGAATCCAAATCTTGAACTTGAGAGGAAATCACAAAGAAAATGTAGTTTAGTGCAAACAAATCCAAAGTCTGACTTCACTGCTATTTATCTCAGTACATATGGGATGGAATAATTGGCAGAGCACCTTCCAGAAAGGGTTTTAGTGGAGACTGAGCCAAAAAGGTATACAGCTACACTGGAAAAAGGAGCACTTTAATGGGCACAGGACTGCCAGCTGTAAGACAGCTGAGGTGTACCTGCTCTATTCCCTGTACATTTAGCATTAGGTGGGGCTGTTCTCTTTGTCTCTGTGCTTTGAGAGCAATGTGAACTGTATGGAATTTAGAAGACATCAGGGAGAGTGGTTGTTTAAAACATACTGTCCAAAAAAATTTCAGGCTAAGCCTGAGAGAGAAGAGGGAAGGTTATCACCAGCAAGAGCACAGAAGAGAGCAAAATCAACCCTCATGTCAGCCAGAGGGATTGCTAGACTCTTAGCCACCACTTGGTGAAGAGCTGGAGCAGATGATGATAATTCTAGGCCTTCTCTCTGCAATTGGAGACTTTCGAGAACAGCTTAGTTAAAGGTCAGTTGAAGTTCTGATGGAGTAGATAGTATCTGGGCAAGAAAGATCAGTTGACTGACTCTCCAGTCCACTTCTGTGTTTATTGTGAATTCTGGAAACCATTTTTTGGACAGAATTGGTCTCTTAAAATAATGCGTAGTTCTGTTCTTTACATGTAAGACTATCTTGTCATCTCCTCGAGTTTTCTGCTTAACTTGATGCTGTTTTGCTAATGTTCCAGTTTGGGTGTTTTGTATTTTGAATGTGTAATAAGCTGCGTTGATTCTCTTCCTTCAGACTGATGATGAAGAAGAGTCTTTCATTTTGGAGGATCCCTTTCTCTTGAACATTGATAACACAGATACACACTCCTATGACACATCTTCTGTAGCAAGCTCTGACAGTGGGGACCGGACGCACCTGAAAAGGTATTGCAGGACTTATACCCTGGGAAGATAAATGATTTTTGAAGGGATACTGCTTATATCCATTAAAAAAATTCCTTTTTTTTTTTTTTTTTTTTTTTGGAGTGGGTAGAAGGACAATCTAAAGCTAAGAGCAGTTGAAACTTCCTAAGGCAACTTCCTGCTGCCTCCTCCCTGAGCATTGCTTTGAGCATGCAAGTTGTCTGTTACTTGAGTAGTAACCCTTTAATTGCATGGATAGATTTTGTCTTGTGCTGTTACATCCAATGCTGAAGTCCCGCAGGAAAGCTGCAGGGGCTCCAGTGAAGCTGCTTTTGGCAGAACACAGTTACTCCTGCAAGATCAAGTAGTCAAACATGGGATTTAGTTTTGTACTGAGGGCTCACCTGTTTAGCTAAATAAATGCATTTAATGGGAGATGGACTATTTAAATTTCTCTGAATTTTAATGGAATCTTTCAAACACTGAACCACGATGACTTTAAAGAAAATCTTTTGGAGGTGTTTCTGGTGAATGCCAGAGTCTGCAAATAGCTGGTGGGTATTTTGAAAAGTCAAGTGAACTTCTGTCACTCCTGTCAATGGAATGCTAATCTTGACATCTAAGAGCAGCCCAGAAAGTGATAATTAGTTATAATACTGCTGACTCGTTTCATTAATTACTCAAATGATGGCCTCATCATACATCCTGAGCCACTCAGGATGCTGTATGTGCTGTGTGAAGATGTGATTGTTGCATGAGTAATTGCATAGAATAGAAACACTTTTAAGTGTCATGGCTTATGGTTGCATGTAGTGGTGTACTGACTCCTTTCTTTTTTCCAATAAGATGGTTCCTGTTGAGGGAAATGTTACCTGGAGTGGCTTAGACATTTTCACATAGAAAGTGGGCAGAAAAACCTGGGAGTGTTACCGTCATCTTTGGATGAAGCTAGTTGCCATGTTTATGTGTCCTTAGCCATAATATAAGCTATTAGCATATTTCCTACACAGAGTCATACATGATTTGGGTTTGAAAGGACCTTGAGATCATCCAGTTCCAGCCCATGCAGTTCCAACGGGCAGGGACACCTTCCACAAGACCAGGTTGCTCCAAGCCCTGTCCAACCTGGCCTTGAACACTGCCAGGGATGGGGCAGCCACAGCTTCTCTGGGCACCTTGTGCCAGCACCTCAGCACCCTCACAGGGAAAAATTTCTTCCTTATATCTAACCTAAATCTCCTCTGTTTAAGTTTGAACCCATCACCCCTGGTCCGATCACTACAGTCCCAGATGAAGAGTCCCTCTCTGGCATCCTTCTAGCCCTCTTACATGTTAGCTACTTACTTGTGCACCTCTGGAGAGATAAGAACCAAATGTTTGTGTGTTAGTTTTGGAAATCTGCCTTTGGGGTGGTGTGTACTTGGTAACAAAACTGCAACTTCCTTGGGGATTTTTCTTCTGCTGTGTATGCTACAGTATACCAATGCTCCTTAGAAATAACTGTCCCACTTAGACTAGTTACTTTGTAAAGACGTTTTCTCCATAAGCAGAAACACTTAACCTTTCATAGCAGATCATCTGGGTTTTAATTGAATGTTATACCTTAAGCATGCCTTCAGTTTTCCTAGGGGTTTATATTCTATTAATGAGTCTTTTCCAACTGTGTATGTTCCTTGTATACTCACCTTTAAAAGCTGAAACTTCCTGACTTACTGGAAGATTAATTAAAGAGCGAAAATGTTGCTTTCAGGCTT